AGAGCGCCTGTCTGGAAAGCAGGGCGGAGGGACCCACCGGGACCTGTTTGTGTGGTGACCGAGCAGCCTGGGGGGAAATAACATCCGGGCACACAGCAGGCCTCAGGATAAGGCTGGTGGAGAGAGCTGGGGCTCAGCTCCAGGGGTCCTGAGACACAGGGCCCTGCACTGGCCCCTAGAGATGGCCGGAAGTCAGGAGCACAGACAGCCACGCCCAGTGTCAGGGAGCGGGGCATCCATCTCCAGGGGCCGAGCGGCCACCACACAGGCCAGCGCAGCACAGCCCGCGGCACACCCACCCTCCCGCCCAGCGCCCAGCTCTGTAAGAAATGTCTTCAGGCCGTGGCTGTCTGAGCGGCTTGGAGGGAAGGGTGGGCCACGCACTCGTGGGCCACGAGAGCCAGTTGTGCAGACACAGCACAAGGCGATGAAGAGGATGCGCTACAGGCTCGGGGGTGAGGGGCGTAAAGGAGCAAATAAATATGTGGACGAGCTCTGCTTCAACAAACAGCGTTAGCGTTAAGCTACCCCACCCCCAACGGCAGGGAGAGTAATTTTGTTCTGTACAACTGTTTTTCTTTTTCCAGTCCTGGATAATGAACTCAGGGCCTTTGGGCTGAGCTACATCCCCAGCCCTGTTTTTTAATTTTGAGACTGTCTCATTAAGTCACTAAGTTGCCCAGGCTGGGTTTGAACTTGCAATCCTCCTGCCTCAGCCTCCCAGAGTGCTGGGATTATAGGCGTGTACCAACCTGCTCAGCTCTGTACATTTTTATTGGTGATTTTGATGAAACTGTAAAATAGACGCTCTTTGTGTCTCCAGGTAATTAGAGTGAGTCAGAAGTGAAGACCTGTACAATCTGGCAAGCAGCGAAACAGAATTTAACAGTGACAAGCTGTGGAGACTGCAAATCAGGTTCCCCAAACCAGTTACACGAACGCAGACTGTCAGAGCCCCGGATGGTGTAAGAAGATGCGAAGGATCCTGTTGACCATTAGGCCCAGGAAGGTGGAGCTGTTGACGCATGCGCTCAGTGACTGCTGACGCGGTGCTGGTGGGAGTCCTCGAAACGGAACTCGAAACCTAACAGAGCCAAACCTGCAGCTGTCCCCGGGAGCTCATGTTCCGGTGGGAGGACCGTGTGTGGAGAGGGTGCCGCCACCTGAGGTGGGTGACAGGCGTCACTGTGGGTTCCCAGGGCGCAGACCCTGATTCGAAGATGAGGGTGGGCGGTGGTGCAGAATGAGTGCCCTGAGGGAGGTGAGGGAAGGAGCATCGGGCAGAGGGGGACAGAGCTGCCACCGAGCCCCAAGAGGGACTCAGCCAACTCCACAGGGAGCCCAGGAGGAGGAGATCTCAGAACTATCTGGAACTGCACGGGGAGCCAGGCCTTTATACCCCCACATTGGTCGGTGATTGGCTGAGGCCACCCCTGGGGGGTGTGGCCTTCCCAGGACCCCTCCCAGCAGCCACGGTGGCGTCCCTCCTTCCTTCCTTCTAAAGAGGAGTTTGGGCCATATATCCCAGCATTCACCCCAAAAAGGGAGGCTTCCTGCCAGAAGGAGGCATTTCTGTAAGAACGTGAAACCACACAAACCCTTTCTGGGCAGGGGGAGGGGAACATGCAAAGGCCCTGGGGTGAGAGCACAGGGCGCAGTGAGGAGTATCCTGTGCTCGGGAGAGGGTGGGAGGAGCCTTGGCAAGGACTCGGCTTTCCCTGGGAGCCAGCCTGGGGCCTACGGAGGGTTTTGAGCAAGGAGCGATTTGATTTGGTGTTGGAGTCTACTGCCATACCACCCTGAACACGACCATCTCATCTGATTGATGTTGAACTGGCCCTGCTGTCTTCCCTGATGAGCCTGCCATGTCGCAGGTGAGGGTGAAGCAGAGAGCAGAGGAGACGCTGCGTCTCAGGCCAGACAGAGCTGCAGAAAGGCTGAGAAGGCTCCTGCTGTTCACAGTCTAGATGTGGAGCACACGGACCCCCTGGCACTGGACATGGGATTGGAGGGTGGTCAAGGACAGCACCAAGGTCTCAGGACTGAGCCTGTGGTTTGTTTGTTTTTTAGCCAGGGTCTCGATATGTAGCCCAGGCTGGCCTTGAACTCATAGGCATCTTCCTGCCTCAGCCTTCTTGCCTCAGCTAGATTACAGGCATGAACCACCACACCCAGCTCCAAGCCCCTGTTTGAATGCAGTTGCAGTTACACGAGCAGATGGCCTCTTTGGAAAGGATCTATTGGGCTGAGACCATCAGCAGGGCCTGCGATGAGCAGAGACCCCCTTTTGCAGCCCCTCCACGGTCTCCAGGGGTGGGGACACTCGGAGGTGGTGTCTAAACTGAGCTGGGGGATGGGGTGTCAGAACAGGTGGACCTCTTGGGGGGCGAGGAGCAGCATGCCCAGTAGGAGCCGTTTCCTCTCTGGGCCACTGAGTATAGGAAGGGTATTGATGAATGAACATGCTCAGCAAGACCGCGTGACAGGTTCTGAGGATGGGACTGCTATCATTCATTGGTGAATTGGTTGCAGGTGCTGCAGGAGGCTCCTTGGCTGCCTTAGGGGAGAAATGCGATGGGGTGGCGGAAGTAGAGGCAGCTTTTCCCACTGGACTACACAGCCCTCCCCATGCTCGCCAGGGGCAGGCATCCTGGGCATCTGTGGGGCCAGGGTACAAACCTGTACTTTGCACCCAGTTTGCCAGTGAGGCTCAGATAGGGGAAGGGATTTGCTCAGGACCCTGGAGTCCCGCGTGGGGGTGGAAGTGCTTGCTGCGTCCTCAAAGCCCGCCTGGACCCCTGTCTTCCGTCTGTGCATTGGAGCTAACTGTGCTTAGCCACAGGCAGACTGGGGCAATGTGTGTGCCAAGGCCGGGTCTGCCACTGCCCCGCCGCTGTCAGTGTCCTGGATGACCTGCGGCTGTTTTCTCCAAGCCCGACCCTTGCTCAGGGGCTGCAGGTCGGCAAGTTGAGCCCCGGGCCCAGCCAGTTGGGCAGGAGCTGGATGGCCACTGGGGCACCGAGCAGGGAGGCGGAGGGGGGTTTCCCCAACCTTAACTCAAGCCTGCAAGGGGAGGGGAGGAACCCTCTCAGCCTCTCCGCCGCCGTGCTGGGGCGCGTGCACAGCTGAAGGGTGAGGGAGCCGTCAAGATGTCCACCCGGAGGCCTGGGTGAAGAAAATGTGGTGTTCACACCCGATGGGTAAAGAAGGAGAAACTTGAGTCATTTGTAGGAAGATGGATGCACCTGAGACCATAGCATCGAGTGAGATAGATCAGACACATGGGCTTAAGTATCGCATGCTTTCTCTGAGAAACCCAAAACATAAAAAAAGAGCAAAATAAAAGATAGACAATAGGAAACAAGCAAATAGATCATTCTCAGATGGAAAGAGGACCGAGAGAGATGGAGGCGGGGAGGGGACGAGGGGGTAAAAAGAATTAAGATGTGCTATGTACGTGTTCCAGCTCCCCATGAGGAATGTGGTCATCATGTACTGCACACATGTAGTAATAAAAATTTAAAAGTTAAAAAAAGAGAGAAGCCAGCAGTCTTCCTGCCTGTGCTTCCTCTGTGCAACGTTAGCTGCTTGGTCCCCCAGCTGCTCGTCTCCTGGGTTCCCGAGCTGTGCTTGGGGCAGCCAGGACTCTGCTGAGGCCCCGTGGGTCTGGGCCTTCCCAGGATAGAGCCTGTCCTCTCTGGGCCTCGATGGCGCCCCATTGTCTGAGGGACACTGTGCGGTCCTCATGCGACGTGGATGCCAGGGCTGCAGAGGGCGGAGCAGTGTCCTGGAGTGACAAGGAGACACAGAAGCAGCTGGTATCCTTGGATCTGGGCTCCTCTGCTTCCTTTATCTCTGTGATGCTTGAGTGCCCGGCTGTAAAACGGACCTTTATACAGAAGAGGAGGTAGATGGAATGTATGAAGAAGTGCGTCCCACCCAGCCCTGATCACTGGGTGCTCAGAGGGACTCAGAAACAGCTGGGGACCCCACGGGCCATGGGCTCAGAGTCCTGTGCTCAAATACTCTACCTGCCTGTGTCTCCCTCACTGTCCACCCCTGGAAAAATGACTTTCGTTTCCCAAGGCCCAGGTCTCACCCCCATCAAATAGGGTTAACAGACGTACCGTCACCCCACAATTCTTCTGAGAATGAAGTGAGTTAACTTATTATTAAAATGCTTGTCCTGTGGAGTGAACTTAATAAGTTATTACATCAAAGCTGTGCTTTAAGGGTATCCAGCGCTGACGTGTGTAGAATGCCATGCTGCTAATATTATTTGAAAGGAGCCAAAATCACTAGTGCCAAACTTAAAAGGGAGAAGGATAAGGTTCTCCATTAAACTTCAAAACATGAGTCCTGTATAAATATTTTTCCATTTCTGTCGTAGAGAAGTCACCCCTCCCCTTAGTAATAAGCCCTTGGAACCTTTGAAAAGCAACATCAAATGAGAACATTTATCATGTGATGTCTGTGGCATTTGCCTGTTTCTTTTCTCAGTCAACAAACCCTTATTAGCCCAGCCTGGGTGCCCCATGCATGAAGCCAGGGGGCCCAAGGCTCAATGCCAGACCCTCCTTCTTCTGGGGCTCATCTTCGAAGGCTATTTGGCCTTCCTGGTTAAAAGTTCAGATGACATCCTGACCTTGACCAAGTGGCTGGCCTCCTTCCACCCAGAACACTTTGGAAAGCGGACACGCTAGAGGAGTGATCCAACAACCATTTCTTGGAATCGTAAACGTCTGAGGGTTGCTGCAATACTTTGGATTATCTTGTTTTCTTTATCCGTGGAAGCCAAGATTTTAATGCTACATCTGTGAGTATCTTCTGATAATAAGAACCAAATGTTGTCGGTGGAAATGACTGGAAATTACACCGAGGATCAGAATGTGGGGTTTTAGATTCCCTCTTGGACGGCAGCACTGAGAAACAAACGCACAAGACGTTTTCCTTATAAATCACCTCGGGATGTTGCAACCCTGGGGCTCTGAGCTCCTGCCTCCTCCTCCTCCTCCTCCTCTTCGCCTTCTCCCCTTCTCTCCAGGCATCAGAGGGCCCGGATGCAGCATCCTGGATCCCATTGCTCACATTAGACCTCCAGCTCCTCCTCTCCTCTGAGCTCCTTTGGCTGCTTCTAGAAATCTCCACTGGGATGTCCCACGGACAGTATTCTAATGACAGACTGCACATCGATAAAAGTCACCTGCGATCTGGGACAGAAACCTAGAAATTACTCCTATCCTCGTCCCCCGACTCGGGCCTGGACCACTGCACCAGCTTCCTGTCACCCCCAACAGTCTGTCCCTTCCCCCTCCAGTGTCACTTCCAGCCAGAGTGATCTTCGGGAAAACCTAGATCGTGCTTGACCGTGGCCCAAACTGGACTGGAACCCGAGTCTCTCAGTTCCTCCCCTTGAGCTCCATCTATCTTTGGAGGAAAGTGCACAGGGTCCCAAGAGAAACTGCTCTCTAGGATCTAAAGCAGGCACCTTCCAGGAACTACCCTGGGTCCGGGACACTCGGGTACAGTCTACCCCTGCCTTCTGTCCTCCAGGTCCTGGATAACGGAACTGATGGTCTGGACAGGGCAGGACCCTGCACCTGGAGGTGACCCACGAGCAGTTCCTGCCCATGGATGGGCAATAGTGGGCATCTGAGTGGTAAGGCTGAAGGCCACGAGCCCCCCACAAGTCTCTTAAAGGCCGCAACCACTCTTCCAAATCTCATCAGCCTTCCCTTGGGCTCAGCGCTTGAGATGGGGGAAAAAGACCACCTGGGTCCCACCGCACCGCCCAAACCCTGCTTCTTGGGCCTGGGCCAGTGTCTGCACAGTGCTGGGAGCCTGCCCGCTGCAGCCCCGGGGCTTCTGATTAATAACAGGTTCCTGTGAGGTTCCTTCTTTGCTTTGTTTTCAGAAGGTGGCCAGGAAGCGACCGTGTTGGGAGATGAATTGTCCCCGTTTCTCTCACACAGGTAAGTATGCCAGTCTGCACTCAGAGACCCAAAGGGCAAAGCTCTGGAGGACTCAGCAAGTGCTGTCACCTTGAGGATGTCCTCAGCAGCACGGTCATCACAGCCCACCTTGCCGGACCCCTCTGGGGCCCCCAGGAGCCCCAGAACTTCAACTGAAGGTCACTGCTTGGCCTGCTCACAGCGCCCCTGGGCGCCTCTCTGATTACTCCCAGGGCCCGGCGAGGATGGCCGTGTGCGGCACATTGTCCTGTTCTCCCCACGGCCACCTGCTCTAAGCCCAGGGGTAGCGTGGGCCCGGAGCCTGGCAGCCTGGCTTCATCAGATGCCTTTTCCTGGCCCACCCGCTGCCAGCCCCTCTTGGATTCAGGTCTTAAAGGCCCTGGGCAGCTGTTGCTGGTATCAGGGAGTGAAGTCCTCTCTCAGCCATTCATTCCATGGAATTGGACCCATCTGGTTGGACCGCTGCTCCGCACCATTCATCATCTCTGCGGTCAACAACATCTGCCCAACCCCCGCGGATCGCCCAATGTCTTGGCGAATGAATGAACCCGGGATCGGTCAGTGCGCTGTTTTGCTGTGGGAAGGCAGGCCTGACTGGGGGCAGGCGGGGTCCCGGGACTGACAGCAGGGTGGCCCCGGCTCAGAGGAGGCTTCACGCTAAGGGGCCCCCTTGCAGCCACCCCAACCGCAGCAGGGCCCCTCGGTGGGGCACTGCGTAATTGGTTTTGCATGGTGCTATGGTTTATGTAGAGAAATCAGAGCGGAAGGAGCCGCTAGGGAAGGCCCCTGTCAGAGCCCACAGGGCAGACTCCCTACCCTAACCTGGTCCCAATTAGGGGTTTGCAGGGCTCAGGGCCTCTAGTTTATTTGCAAAGCTCTTTGATCAAATTCTGCCTCCTTGGAGTTATGTTTATTTATTACAATGTGGGGTGTTTTTTAGGCTTTTGGTTGGTTTGTTTGTTTGTTTGGGGTTTTTTTTTTTTTGAGACAGGGTCTCGCTATGTAGTTCAGGTTGGCCTTGAACTCACTATGTAGCCCAGGGTGGCCTCAGACTTTCAGTGATTCTCCTGCCTCAGCCTCGCAAGTGCTGGGGCTACAGGCATGCGCCACCTCGTCTGGCTACAATGCAGATTTTTAAAAGCCCTGTGCTAGTAAGGAAGAGCTAGATCTTGCCATGGGGCAGGATGGGATTATTGTCCAATTTTGTCTCTCTGTGCCAGGGAGTGCCCAGCACCAAATCCATGGGGCAGACACTCTGGCCACCAGAAGCTTCCAGACATCGCTGGCCACCTCAGTCCAACATCAAGCTGGACAGAAACTTGGGAAGAGGCTGGATTTTCTTCCAGGACCCAGGCATCATTTTTGCCATCTACAAAAATACACTTCACTATATTTAGGCAGTGCTACGAATGGGCCTCCCCCACACCCCCTCTTTCACCCCAGCTCAAGAATGTTTCTCCGTTTGTTTTTGTCATTTAATATTTTTTTCCTACCACCTGGAGAAGTCATCAAGCACTCACATTCCCCAACCCACTTTGCCTACTGCTTGTGAATTAAAATATGCCCCCGCACCCCCGCCAAAATACGACCTTGGAGCAGAATGCGGGCGTCAGTGGAAAGTACTGGTGCTCTTTTTCACCGCCTCTGGAAGCGTGGTGCTGTATTTCTGGGCATCTGCTCTGTGCCAGACCCCACACTCACTGTCACACACACCTCGGCTCATCCCGGCTCCTGCCCACCATGCCTGTGATGACCGCAAGCGACGTCAAGCCACGCCACCGGATGACAAGCTGCTGGCTGTCCCCCTGGCCCGTCGCTTGGGGCGAGGGAAGTGATGGTCCAAACTGGGTTTGTTTGACTCTGTTCTGGGTCAGGCGGGAGTCTAGATGGCCTCCAGCGTGGTGCTCAGGACATGGCGGAGGAGAAATGCTTTGGGGTGTTGGCCTCTGAGGGCCTGTGGGTTTTACTGTCATGGCAGGGTTTCCTCAGCAGGTCCCTCATCAGGGGCTTAAGGAGGGGACTGCCCTCCTACTATGCCCTTCCCCCTCAACTTCACACCAGGACATCTCCTAGCTTCAGCCCTCACTCAAAACGGAGGTGAAAGCCGGGCGTGGTGGTGCACGCCTATAATCTCAGCACTCCTGAGGCTGAGGCAGGAGGATTGCTGTGAGCTCCAGGCCAGCCTGGACTACCTAATGAGAGCAAGGCCAGCCTGAACTACAAAGCAAGATCCTGTCTCAAAAAATAAATGAATAAAATTTAAAATACATAAATAAGTGGAGGTGACGGTGAAGTCTCTCTCACTGCTCCAGGAGCCCCAGAACTTCAACTGAATTAGAAAAGCACCCTAAACTGCCCCCCTATCCCTTGCCTGGCTCACAGGTGAGTGCTGCCTGTTCCCCTCTGGGCTGCTGGCTGTCTGCCGGCTTGGCATCCAAGTGCCATTAGCACATCCCCCCGGGTAGGTCCTGACTTCCCCAGGAAGTTCCATCGTAGATGCCCAGGTGCATTTCCTGATCTGGCTGATCAGCTCTCAGGCCTGGCCATCAAGAATGCTCAGCGTGACTCAGGGTGACACTATACCGTCCACACTGCAGGACATGGACCACGAGCAGATACCAGCTCTGTGGCCACCCCAGCTCAGAAGCTCCAGGATCCTCAGCTACACTCCAAAAGCCGCAGCCCCTCTGGCCCTTTGCAAGGTGGTCTGTCTGCCTGGACTGCCCTCATCTGCTGGACCCACGTGGCAAATGCCTCTTCTTCCCCACCTGTGCGTCCGGGAGTGTTAGTGGCTTGGGGCCCTCTGAAGAGCCATTCCTTCTCCCCCTTCTGGGACCGTCCTCTGTCCTGGGCACCGTGCAGCTTTCCTCTGCTTACTTCCTGTTGCTTGGGTGTCAGTGTCCTCGAATCCTGTACAGTCTGGTCCACGCTAACTGTTGAATGAGTTTGGGGGAGGGCCGCCCCCAGCCCCTGCCCAAGCCAGCCCCCTCTTTCAGCTCTGCCCCCACCTGGTGCCCAGACTACCCCCAGTTAGGGTGCTGTCCAGTGATTCATGCCGCAGCATTAGTACTTTGCCAAAACCAAAAGAGCATCTTTCTAGACCCGATGGATGCAAAATCCTGAATGATGTCATCTCCCTTGCTCTTTTCTCACCCTTGCCCCGTGTCTTGGTCTGCTGGTGTCCCAGGTGTGTGTGAAAATGTGAGGACACACTGTAAACTCAGAGGCCATGAGCACCCTGGGAAACGGCTGGCCAAGGACACAGTGAGCAGAGGTCCTCAGCTGCCAGTTCCTCCAGGGAGTTAACGGTGACAGCATTCTGCTGAGGAGCCCGTGGTGTGGTCCCCTGGCCCCTCAACACCTCACCCTGAAGGTGCAGCATCACTGTTTTGTGTGGTTACAAAAAGTACCTGGAGTGAGTGATACTGACTTGGTCCAACAGCCAAGGTCTTGACGCACTCTCCCAATATGGTGATAGATGGCGCCATCTTGGTGCGTGGTTCTCGGACTATGGAGTGAGGTCTAGGCGACACCCACGTGCTGGCCCCTTGAAACCAGTAAATGATGACCCATCTATAGACACACAGCTTGAGCAACGCTGAGCTGGGTGCTTTTGCCCACTGGGTGGTCAGTCAGCCCTGGGTGAGGGAAGGGGCTGTTGGGATGGAAAGAGATGAATGGGTTGAAGAGCTACTTAGGGGACCCAGTTATTAGGACACCCATGGACATCTGGTGGTGACATAGAGGCGGAGGAGGCGTGGCTTCCAAGCCTCTCCCCATTACAGGCAGCTGGCTAGAGACGGCATCTCTCACAGAGGCGGGAAACATGGGCAGCTGTGTCCGTTAGTTTGCTCGGCCTCCATAACCGAACCCCAGGGTGGACAGTTTGAGCAACAGACATTTAATTTTTCACAGTTCTGGAGGCTGGAAGTCCAGATCAAGGCGTAGGCACGAAGCTGAGCCTGCTGTCCCTGGCTTATTTATAGATGGCCATTTTAGAACTACAGGTATACTTCTGTGTCTTAATCTCTTTTTCTTATAAAGAACAAGATTCATATTGGAATCGGGGCCCACCATCGTGAGAAAGACCCTGCTTAGGACCTTGTTTCCAAGACATCTTCTGACCTTAGGTGTTAGGGCTTTCACATGGAGGTTGCGGGGATGTGATTCAGCAGCCAGCTCTGAACAGGCTGAGCTCCTCGAGCCTGAGATCTGCCCCAGTGGCAAGGTTGGGTGTGCATCTGACAGAGGGAGGCTTGGCCGGGGCTGAGCATGCAGGTGTGAGCAACAAAGGGACAATGACTGGGGCCCCAGGAGGAAGGGCGAGAGGGCAGAAGAAGGACCCAGGACCTAGAGTCCAGGAACCCACTACGGAAAGTGCAGTGGAAGGCGTGGCCAACAGGGCAACAGGGGTAGGTGGAGTCACAGGAGGGGCCCAAGGGAGGGATCCTTCACGGGAGAGGGCCTGGCACTCATCCCTGCCTGTCACTCATCCCGTTTCATGGCTTCCCAAAGACAGCCCCGGACCACTTGGGGCAGGAGCTGGGTCCTATCCAAGTCTCCAGCTTTTGCCTCGGAAGGCTTGGTTCAGGAGGAGAAGAAAATTGAAAATATTGTTTCTAGCTTTCCTCAAGCCAGTGACTTTCTGTTTTGGGAAGTTGGCCTCCTTTCTGGGGGCAGCAGATGAGTAACTGTGCCCTTTGATGTGATCCTAAGAGGCTCACGCCCTTCCCACAGAGGACTCGGAGTTTAAATGAAAGCCCCAGATGGGCTGCTGGAGCACCGGCCAACCCCGCCTGTGCGCTCTGGGGCTTTGTTTGGCTCTTACACTTTGATTGGTTGAAGGGAATGATGCTTTCCAGATGCCGACATCTCCCAGCCCCGAGTCCAGCTGGCCAGCCTGGCCCCCTCGAGGGCCTCCCGCCGCCAGACAGCCTTCCTCAGCCGGCTCCATCCCGCCTGCTCCAGCTGTGGCTGCAGCCTCACTTCCTGCAGCGGGGGAGGCCAGGCTGCTGGTCCCCGTGGGCCCTTCCGGATCTGACATCTTACAGTGGTGCCTCCTGGGCTTGAGATCGCCTCCATGGCCTCAGGATCAAAGTCAGGCATTCAGGAGCCCTGGGGTTAGCAGTCACCCTGTCTTTGATTTAGGGAGCGCTTCCTAATCTCAGAGACTCCTCCACACCAAGCCCAAGACTGGCTGCCCTGCAGGTGCTATGCACAGTCCTGCTGCCCACATAGACCTGCTGTTGGTGAGAGGGGCCCCTCCCCAGCTAGGCCTCGGAGCCCCCATCCTGGGACTCTGCTTGGAATTTGTCACACACTGACTTGAATCAACGGCAGCATTCTTCTCTTCTCTTCTCTTCTCTTCTCTTCTCTTCTCTTCTCTTCTCTTCTCTTCTTTCTCTTCTCATTTCTCCTCTTCCCTCCTCTCCTCTCCTCACCTCTCCTTTCCTCACCTCTCCTCTTCTCTCTCTTCTTCCTTGTATGCTGATACTCAAACACATTAGGCACCAACAGTAAAATTTCTTTATTTCTTTTTAACTTTTTATTTTGAAATAATTCTAGATTCACAGAAAATCGCAAGAACAAGCCCAGAGAGACTTCAGTTTCTGGGAAGATGGAGACGATATGCTTGTCCTTGTTCCATTCACTTAGTGCAACTAAAAACCCTGGAAGATTCCGGAAAAGGGTATGGGAGGGAAGTGGACGAGGGTCCTCAGGACCCCAGGAACAACACAGTGGTGAGGTCCCTAGGTTTCCCTTTGCCTCGGGCATTGCAGACCTGGAGTGGAGCAAGGAGGCATCTGGAGACCTATAGCCACAGACCAAAATTACCCCAAGAAAAGTCTGCTCAGGAAAGGGGCAGTCGGACAAGACAAGTGATATCACAGTAAGTGCCACAGGAACGAAGTGGCTCCCCACGCACAGCCTGATCAGGCCAGAATGACACAGCCACACATTCCCCCTGGGCTGGAGAGGGCTGAGGCACAGTGGGACTCTCACTCCAGCTGGTGTTGGGTCCCCTCTGTTCGGTGTCCGCAAAGAGTCTGGACTTCCAACCCCGCCTCACGGTAACAAGCAGAGTCTTCTGCCATGGCCCTGGGGAAACACGGCCACCCTCCTTTGCCCACCTAGGGCTCCAAATGGGGAGACGTAACAAAGAATTTTCATCCCTCCTCCCCGGGAGATATCAGCTTCAGCAGGGACCTGCCGTGCCTACCTCCCCCTGGCAGGGATGAGGGCATCTGCTCAGGTGCAATCAACTAAGGCTGGGGGGCGGGGACTGGGACTTCTACTGGGACTGTCCCTGTCCTCTGGACTCCCCACCAGTGCAGTCAGTTTCAGAGAACGCTCGCTAAAACAGAAGGTTTAAATAAGATCCAGAACGTCCTATGTAATAGGCGAATGTCCAAATTTCATTTGAAAGTCACTCACTGTACCAAGAAAGAGCTCAGATTAAATGAAAGATGATAATAAATAAATGCAACCGCAAGGTAACAGAGATGATGGATCATCTGACAAAAATTTTAACAAGTGATTATAACTGCTCAAAACAAATGAAAAAATAGCCTCCAGAAAGAATATAAGATATTAAAAGGAAACACCCTGAACCGAAAGCTAGGATAATAGAATTGCCCATACGAACAATAGAGAATAACCCTGAAAATAAACAGCCGTGGAGACCTGTGAGACTGTGACAAAGAATCCAGCACTGTGACACTGGAGTCCTGAAAGAAGGGAGAAAGAGAGTGGTGCTGAAATAATAACTAAAAATTCCTCAAATTGGGGAAGACACCCAAACCTATAAACCGAAGAGGTTTAGTGACCTCCAAACAAGATAAACCTGAAGACAGCCTCACCAAGACACATCACAGTCAAACTTTCACAACCAAAACACAAACAAAATTTGCAAAGCAGCAAATTGTTTGCCTGCAGAGAACATTTTAACTATTACAGATTTCTCATCAAAACCACGGAGGTCAGAAGAAAGTGTCATGAGATTTTATAAGAATGAAAGAAAAAATTCAGAATCCCATTTCCACAGACCATCCCTTTTAGAAATGGAAGGAAAAGCAATATATTATCAGATGAACACCAACTAAGAACACCATTTGCCATCCAACCTATCCTCAAAGAATGGCTAAAAGGAAGTTTC